TGGATGGAGCTCTGAGCAACCTGGGCTGGTGGAAGGGGTCCCTGCTCATGACAGGGGGATTGGAACCAGATGATCTTCAAGGTCCCTTCCAACCCAAACCATTCTAGGATTCTATGACTTGTGTTTGACTGAAGGCTGGACCTTCTGCACTGCTGGCACGTCCAGCTCAGCGACGTGGGCTCAGCTCCTGGGTTGCAGGGGACACTTTTCCATCTCACTGGGGACAGAGCGTGGCAGGGCACCTCTGTCCTGCCCAGCTGGAAGGTGGCTGAGGCTGTGGGCGCCGGGAGCTTTGTGGAGCGTCTGTGCCCTGCCTGAGCCACGGGGCTTTAGCAGCCCACGAGCCCACGGTCCGTGGAGAAGCCAGGTTTGAAAGCCAAGCTTTACCTCTTCCCAAGGTGAAAGTCTGGTTCCAAAACCGGAGGATCAAGTGGAGGAAACAAAGCCTGGAACAGCAACAAGCCAAACTGGCCAAAATGGGTTTGGCCACCCCGCAGCGGAGCCCCGACTCGCAGAGCCACCCCGGCGAGGAGGACAAGGACTTCCCAGCGGAGGTGGGCCGGGAGGACACGGCCTCGTCCGCTGGCTCGGGGACAGCACCCGTACAGACTGTGGCCCAGAGCTGCTGAATCGCCCCTTCGGGCCGCTGTCCCGTCTGTATCATACGAGTGTATCATAGCTGGCAAGGAGCCAACCTAATATATACCGGGCACCGGTTATTTTTGCAGCGCGAAAATAAATTATTTATGCAGCTCTGGGGCTCGTCTTTGCAGGAGGAGGAGGAACACCACCACGTGGCAGCAAGCGTTCAGTGGAGGCTTGTTCATGGGAGCAAGCCCGGGAGGTCTGGGGGCCTGCTGTGCACCCCCCCACCCCACCCCAATCCGCCCCATAGACAGGCTCATCCCAAAGGTGCTGGGTGCTCGGGTACCTCCGTGAGCTCTGAAGTAGCCCAGGACCTTCACAGAGCCCGGGTGGTTGTAGAGGACCTCCATCTCCTGGTCCATCCATCTCCATCTTCCTTCCCCTTCACCATAGCACCCTGCTCTGCCCACAGCTCACAGGACCCGACCCGGTGACGGCGTCCCACTCTCCAGGGCTTTCGGAGCCAGGAAAGTTGGGAAAACCAGGGAAAATGCACCTGGAGAGCAGAGCTGGCGGTGGCTTTGTGAGCCGGACACCTGGAGAGCTGTCTCAGCTGGGCAAGGATTAGCCAGGTTTTAATTTTAATTGCTTGGCCCAGCTTAGGCAGGTGCAGAGGTTTCACAGAATCACAGAATGTTCCGGGTTTGCAGGGCCCTTTGGGGGTCACCCAGCCCAACCCCCTGCCCAAGCAGGGTCACCCAGAGCAGGCTGCACAGCACCGCGGCCAGGCGGGGCTGGAATATCTCCAGAGAAGGAGACTCCACAGCCTCCCTGGGCAGCCTGGGCCAGGGCTCCGTCACCCTCAGAGGGAAGAAGTTCTTCCTCATCTTCAGCTGGAGCTTCCCCTGCTTCAGTTTGTGCCCGTTGCCCCTTGTCCTGTCACTGGGCACCACTGGAAAGAGTCTGGCCCCATCCTCCTGACACCCACCCTGCAGATATTTAGAGGCATTTCTAAGGTCCCCTCTCAGCCTTCTCTTCTCCAGGCTGAACAAGCCCAGCTCCCTCAGCCTCTCCTCGTAGGAGAGATGCTCCAGTCCCCTCCTCATCCTCGCAGCCCTCCGCTGGACTCTCTCCAGTAGCTCCTCATCTT